CATGTGTTTAGTTATACTCTGTCTGTCTTCCTTGCCTCAGTAGCATGTAGCACAGGGTGTAAAATTGAGATTACTGCCCAAGCCTGCTGTTTAGTTTACTACGTAGCTCCCTGAATTGTAGTTGCAGGACCTTGTCACACTTCTGCCTGTTTAGCCTCCCTTTTCAGGATGCCCTGTACCTACTCGGAGACATCCATGACCCTGGCACCAGGGAGGCAACATACCATCCTGGAGTCTCTATCATGGCCGCAGAAGAACCTATCTGTTCCCCTGACTATCCAGTCTCCAATTACTATTGCTGTAATACGCTTCGTCCCTCCCCGCTGTACAGCAGGACCAGCTGTGGTGCCACCAATCTGACTGATGCTGCTGTCACCTGATGGGCCAATCTCCTCCTTCAGTATCCAAAACGGAATAGTTGCTTGACAGGGAAACAGCTGTAGGGGACTCCTGTGCACACTGCCTGCCCTGTTAATGGTCACCCATGTATCTTCCTGTACCTTGCGTGTGACCACCCTTCTATAACTTGTATCCCTGATGTTGTCCGCCATTTGTTTGTTCCGTAGCTCAAGCTGAGCCATTTCTTTGATGAACAGCTGAAGCTGGGTACACTTTCTGTACATGTCATTATCAGGACGCTGTTAGTGTCCATGACTGACCACATCTCACAGACAGAACACAAAACCCCACCAACGGATATGACCACGTCTCTGAAAACAACAAATACTGGAGATCACAGCAGGTCAGGCAGCATCCATGGAGAGACAGCAAGCTAATGTTTTGAGTCTAGATGACTGTTCTTCAAAGCTGAAATTGAGTGTTGGGAGGGCGGCATTTATGCTATAGGAGGGGGAGGGGGAGACGGTGAAGTAGAGAGTTCTGAGTGAGGAAGAACATTGATAGTTCGGATTGAATGATCAGAATGTGAGAATGGCAGAACAATGGTGTGTCTGACTGCCAAACTTGAAAGAGTAGACAGTCCCACTGGGGTGGGGGGAGGGGAGAGGGAAGAGAGGACATGGTGACGGAGAATGTAACAAGTAAAACTAAAAGAAAAGGAAGGAATAGGAATTGGTTCACAGTTTGAAGTTGTTGAACTCAATATTAAGCCCAGAAGGCTGTAAGGTGTCTAATCTGAAGATGAGATATTGTTTTCCCAGTTTGGGAAATCTGGAATCTGAATCACTGGAGCATTGCAGCCTACAGAGGACAGACAATTGGGCATGCGAGCAGGACGCTGTGTTAAAATGACCGGCTACAGGAAGGTCGGGGTCATGCTTGCACACAGACCCGAGGTGTTCTGCAAAGCGGTCACCCGGTCTGCATTTAGTTTCTCCAGTGTAGAGTAGGGCACTGTGGCTGCAGCGAATACAGTACACAAGATTGGAGGAGGTACAGCTTGGAAAGACTGTTTAAGCCCTTGGATGGTGAGCAGGGAGGAAGTGAAGGGGCAGGTGTTGCACCTTCTGTGGTTACATGGGAAGGTGCCATGGGAAGAGCGGGTACACGTATTAGTGGTCAATGAATGGACTAGGATGTCCGGGAGCGAATGATCACTGCAAAATGCAGATGGGGGAGTGAGGGAAAGATGTGTTTGCTGTGTTTGCTGGTGGCGTTCTGCTGGAATTGTCTGAAACGGCGAAGAATGATCATTTTTGTATGCAGTCTGGTGGGATGAAAAGTGACAACAAGGAGTTCTCGATCACACTGTTGTGAGTGATGGGAAGGGGCAAGGGCAGAAGCACAGGTAATAGTTTGGATGCGGTTCAGGGACCTACCAACCACAGTGGGTGGGAAATCAGTGTTTTGGAAGAAGCAAGCCATATCAGCAGCGTTGTTTTGGAAGGTGGCATTATCCGAACAGATACGACATAGGCGAATGAACTGGGAGAATGAGATGACGTTAAGCATCCACAAGGTAATGATCAGTGTGCTTGGCTACAACAGCACCACCTTTGTCGGTGGGTTTAATAACAAAGTTAGGGTCGGATCTGAGAGAGCCAAGTGCAGCAATTTCCGAAGGGGGACAGGTTAAAGTGGGTGAGAGGAGCAGAGATATTGAGACGGCCAGTGTCACGCCAGTAACTTTCAATGAAGAGATCGAGGTTGGCAGGTAAGAGGGCAAGGGAAAGGGTCCAAGTAGAGAGTGAATACTGGAGGCAGGTGAAGGGATCAGTGGAAGGGAGGGAGGATTCCTGCCCGAAGAAGTGAGCGCTGAGATGGAGGCGGCAGAAAAACAGCTGAACATCATAGTAAGCCTGAAATTCATTAAGGTAGGAGTGTAAGGATATGAAGCCAAGTCCTTTGCTGAGGGGAAGGTCAGGAGGTATGGTGAAAACACAACAAGGGCTGGGGTTGGGGAGTGTTACCTCAGGGGGACAGAAAGCAATGGTATCTGAGGGCTGGCAAGGGGTGGGTGCTAAGGGACAGTAAGGGATCAGCTCTGAGTGATGGCAGGGAATGGAGTCCAAGAGGTGGAAATGGGAGAGCGGCACGGGACGGATGTTGAAGTCCGTGAGTTGCTGAAGCTTGGGTGCCTTGATGTCTGAAAGAGAGTCTTTTGTTGAGGCAACGGCTGAGATGAAGAATGAAGTCAAACTGGGGAACGGCACATTGAGAGAGGGTGAGTTGATGTTACTGCAGAGTGGAATCGAGTGTGTCCATGTAACAGCACATGGCATTGATCATGGAGCACAGGAAGTGGTTGGAGTAGCAGTCTGAAGATTGTTGTAGATCCTGGAGATGCTTGTAATTCTGGGTGGATTCAAAACACGAAGGATGAAACTTGAGTTGAAATCCACGTGGCGTAAGACAGAGTCATTGGCAGTCACTGAGAAAGGAAATATGGCTGTGAAAGCATGTTTTGGCAAACACCTTGGCAAACACCAGCAGTGAAATGGAAAACCACAAAAATGTACGTGGTGAAAGACACAACTGGAATCCCTGTCTGGAGGAAGAGCAAAATTTCTTCAGGATAAGTATTCCTCGAAGAGACAACGTAGGAGCAAATTACTGTAGATGCTGGAATCTGAACTGAAAACAACAAATGCTGGAGATCACAGTGAGCCAAGCAGCATCTGTGGAGAGAGAACAAGCTAACGTTTTGAATCTCGGTGACTCTTCATCAGAACTGAAGTTTGGAGGTGGAAGCATTTATGCTATAGTTGGTTGTTAGTTTATAAGTTTGATATTAGTTAACTATCTAAAAATTAGTTGTTACTTTCTGACAAATAGCCCCTCTATCATACTATCTAAACTCCTTGTACTGAGCAGAAGATGGACTAACTGTGATAACCCTTTAGAAAGACTGAGATACTTGTTCTGTAACACGGAGATTCGTTCACCTTTTAAAATACGTTAATTTCTTTGTCAGCGGAAGATATTGCCGAATAAATTTGATTGAATCCTTTGAAGAAATGCCCAGGTGTGTAGATGAGGGTGGTGTAATTGATCTAGTTTATTTGGATTTCAGCAAGGCCTTTGACAAGGTCTTATATGGGATCAAGAACGTCAAAGCACATGAAATGCAGCTTGACAAGATCGATCCAAATTGGCTTAGTGATAGGAGACAGGGTGGTGGTAGAAAGCTGTTTCTGTGCGCAGGAGGCTGGGGCACAGTAGCATACTGGAGGGATTGTTGCTGGATTCCTTATATTAAAAAAAAACAAAACTGTAGATTCTGGAAATGTGAAAGATAAACAGAAATTGCTGGAAAAACTGAGGTGGTCTGGGAGCATCTGTTGAGAGAAAGCAGACATAACGTTTTGGATCCAGTGTCCTTTCTTTGGAAGCAATTTCCATTTTTGTTCTGGATTCCTTATTGTTCAGGATATGTAATGATACAGAAGAAAATGTGCAGTGGATGATATATAAGGTTGTGGATGACACAAATATTAGCTAAATGGTTAATAGTGAGGAAGGAGGTCTCAGGTTACAGGATCATATAGTCAGACAGAGAGATCGGAAGCAGTTTACTGCTTTTAGCAGTTGAAGCATAGCTTATGAGAGCAGGGAGGTTGTGATGGGACTGTATAGGACTTTGGTTAGGCCACAGCTAGAGTACTGTGTGCAGTTCTGGTCTCCACACAATTGGAAGGATGTGACTGCACTTGGTAGAGGAGGTGTTGGGGGTGCAAAGGAGATTCACCAGGAATGTTGTCTGGAATGGAACACTATAACTATTAAGACAGCCTGATATTTTGTTTGTAATTCATATTTGGGATGTGGCCATTGCTGGTGCCCATCCATAATTGCCCAGAGAGCAGTTGAGAGTCAGCAACATTGCTGTGAGTCTGGAGTCACGTTTAGACCAGACCATATCAGGATGGCAATTTCCTTCCCCAAGGGACATTAGTGAACCAGGTGGGTTTTTCTGACAATCAGCAATTTGATGATCATCATTAGACTCTTCTAGTGATTCCAGGGTTTTTTTTATTGAATTGAAATTCCATCATATGCCATGGCAGGATTTGAACCCTGTTCCCCAGAACATTACCTGAGTCTCTGGATTAATAGTCTAGAGATACTGCCACTAGGCCATTGGCTCGCCAGGATAAACTCTGATTGTTTTCTTTGGAGCAGAGAAGGCTGAAGGGCACATGACTGAGGTGTGTAAAATTGAGGGGCATCGACATGGTAGATAGGAAGTTGAAGGGTCAGTAATGTAATGGGACAATTTAGTAAAGGATGGCTGGTTTAGGGGGAATTTTTTTTCACCCAAAATGTGGTGGGAATATAGAATGTTCTCCTTGGAAGGGTAGTAGAGGCAGGAGACTTCACAACCTTTTAAAAGTACTTTGGTGAGCACTTGAAATACCATAACCTTCAAGGCTGTGGGCCAAGTGCTGGAAAGTGGGAATAGTGTAGATAAGTTGCGTTGACTCAATGGGCCAAACAGCCTCTTCTGTACTCTGACATAATGCAACTGTAACAAGTAAAATAAAATGTTCAAATGTTTGTACGGTTAGGATGCTTGTGTTAACAATTACTTTGCTTAGCAGAAAAAAGCAGAAGAAGCTCACAAAATACTTGAAGGTCTGGGTCCAAGAGTAGAATTGGTAAGTTTCATGTATCTACTGTCCATGCAATGTTCTTTGTCTGCTGCATGCTTCTGATTTCAGTCATTCCAATGTTACCCGTGTATTATAACCATCAAAAGGTTGCAGTTATAAGATGCACACTGCCGATCAGATTACCGTTGGTTGCATTCATTTGTTCCTTACAGCCATGCCCACATCAGGTCAATGTGAAACACCCAGAAAAGATTCCATGTCCCACATCGCACAATTCAAATCATGATCTGACCTGAATAAAGACTGTACAATATGGACAGGCCAGTATATGATTAGTGATGGTGCCACATTCTTGTGCAAAATGTATGAAATTTTATATTTATATGTCTTTTACCAAAGAACATCCATCAGCACAAGGTTGGACAGTGTCTCCAAGGAGCATTTGTAGCTAAGAACATAAATGGGAGCATGAGTAGACCGCATGGTTCATTGAGCCTGCTTCAATATTCATTGCAATCATAACTGATGTTTGACTTCATCTCCACTTTGCTACCTGCTCCCTGTTTAACTTCATTCTTTGAGAGACCAAAAAGCTCTGTCTCAGCATTAAATGTTTTCGTTGGTGGAGCATTGACACCTCCCAGGGATAGAGAATTCCATTGATTCACAATCCTTTGAACAAAGAAATTTCTCCTCTTCTCAATCCTAATTGAGACTGCATTTGTGTTACAAATTCCCCACCCAGAGAAACAACCTCGATATCTACCCAGCGAAGCCGCTTCATAATCTTAAATGCTTCAATACAATCATCTCATTCTCTAAATTCCAGAGAATATAGACCTAATTTACTTATTATCTCATCATGGAACAGTAACAGTGTGTTGCGTCTGCACGATGCACTGCAGCATCTCACCAAGGCTTCTCTGACAGCTTCAACCCCATGACCTTACTACATAGAAGAACAAGGGCAAGAACTGCAAGTTCTCCTCCAAGCTATACACAATGCTGGTGCACCATTCCTCCACTGTCACTTGGCTAAAATCCTGAAACTCCTTCCTCCACAACATTGTGGGTGTACCTATACTACGAAGACTACAGTGGTATAAATAGGCAGCTCACCATCACCTCCAGGGCATTTAAGGATGGGCAATACATAAATGCTAGTATTTCTGGTGATACCCACGTCTCGTGAATGAATTTAAGAAAGCTCTATCTCATGAACCTTTGCTATGACACTTGCACTGCAGGTATCTCCTTCATTAAATATGGAGACCAAAATTACAGTCTTACACTGGGTATAGAACTAGGTGGGAAAGGTCTATCAATGTATTGACACTGGGTACAGTTCTGTTACTATAACAATAGGCTGCAGTGCTGATAGGAGCTGCTCCATAATTGTACAATTCTGAGTAGAATTTCTTCCTCCTTTCTGAAATAATGGGACTGTATTTACAACTTTCCATCTGCAGCAACCGTTCAGAATCTACAGAATTTTCAAGGCTGACCACCAGTACATCCACTATCTTGAAAGCTACCTCTTTCAACACTCTTTTAATGCAGATCCTGGGGATGTCTGCTTTCAGTACAGTTACTTTCTCCAATATTGAATCTTTACTTGTGCTAATTTATTTCTGTTCCTCATTCTGACAGTACCTCGATTCTATTATTTCTGCATCTTCCTCTCTAGAGAGAGTCCCATTGTCGTCATTTAAAGCTTCTGCCATTTCCCCATTTCACATCATAAATTTTCCTGTATCAGCCTGTAATGGACCTACATTTGTCTTTGCTCATGGTTTCCTTTTAATAAATCGACAAAAGCTTTTACAGTGTACTTTGTATTTCTTGTTAGTTTACATTCATATTGTATTCTCTCTATCCATTTCTCAGTCCTCTGCTGAACTCTTAAACACTCTTTTGTCCTTCGGTTACTGTATTTTTTGGGAAACTTTATAAGCCATTCCTTCACTCTAATAATATCTTTAACTTGATTGGTTATCCACATTTAACTCACTTTCCTGTTTGTTTTCTTTTGTATGTCAAAGGATGTTTATAAATATAAGTAATTACCTGTCTACAATTATAACGTTTAATCTATTTTCCTGATATATCATAACAAACTTGTCCATCATACATTCAGGTTTTTTGTTTAGATTTAAGACTCTAGTTGAATGACATTGGATTACACTACATTGTCTTCAAACTGAGTGGAAAATACCACCGTATTGTGGTCACTTTTCCTGAAAGACGTTTTATAACAAGATTGTTACTTAGTCCTTTCTCTCTGAAGATGCCAGATGTAAAATAGCCCTCCTGTTCCATAGTTGGTTCCTCCACACATTAATCCAGAAATCTTGTACACTTTCGAGGAATTTTGTCCTCCATAGCATTGATGCTCCTTATTTAGTCTTTAGATTGAAATTATCTGTGATTACTGCACTCTCCTTGTTATGGGTGCCCCTGATTTCTGCTATACCCTACATTATCACTATTATCTGGCTTATAGGCAATAACTACCAATGTTTCCGATGAAGAGTCATACTGGATTCAACATTCGCTCTGTTTCTGTCTCCACAGAAGCTGCTAGACCTGCTGAGTTTCTCCACATTGTTTTTGTTTTCATTTCAAATTTCTAGTATCAACAATATTTTGTTTTTATTATCCTAACGAAGTTTGTTGCGCTTTGCTGTTTAGAACATAAGAACTAGGAGCAGGAGTAGGCCGTCCGGCCCTTCGAGCCTGCTCCGCCATTCAATAAGATCATGGCTGATCTCGGATCCACTTACCCGCGTTCTCACTGTATCCCTTAATTCCTTTATTGTTCAAAAAAAATCTACCTTATCTTTAAAAACGTTTACTGAAGTAGTGTCAACGACTTCACTGGGCAAGGAATTCCATAGATCAACAACCCTTTGGGTGAAGAAGTTCCTTCTCAATTCAGCCCTAAATCTGCTCCCTCTAATCTTGAGGCTGTGCCCTCTTGTCCTAGCTTCACCTGCCAGTGGAAACATGCTCTCTACTTCTATCTTAGCTATTCCCTTCATAATTTTATATGTTTCTATAAGATCTCCCCTCAATCCTCTGAATTCCAATGAATATAATCCCAATCTACTCAGTCTCTCCTCATAAGCCAACCCCCTCAAATCCGGAATCAACCTAGTGAACCTCCTTTGCACCCCCTCCAGTGTCAGTAGATCCTTTCTCAAGTAAGGAGACCAAAACTGCACACAGTACTCCAGGTGTAGCCTCACCAACACCTTGTACAGCTGCAACATAACCTCTATGCTTTTAATCTCAATCCCTTTAGCAATGAAGGACAAAATTCCATTTTCCTTCCTAATTACTTGTTGTACCTGCAGACCTACCTTCTGTGATTCATGCACAAGGACACCCAGGTCCCTCTGCATAGCAGCATGCTGCAACTTTTTACCATTCAAGTAATGATCCTTTTTTACTATTACTCCGACCAAAATGTATGACTTCACATTTATTTACATTGTATTCCATCTGCCAGACCTTTGCCCACTCACTCAATGTATCTATGTTCCTCTGCAAAGTTTCACAGTCCTCTGCAAACTTTGCTCTACCACTCATCTTAGTGTCATCTGCAAACTTTGACACCCTACACGTGGTCCCCAACTTCAAATCATCGATATAAATTGTAAATAATTGCGGTCCCAACACTGATCCCTGAGGCACACCACTAGTCACTGACTGCCAGCTGGAATAGCACTCATTTATCCCCACTCTTTGCTTCCTGTAAGTCAACCAATCCTCTATCCATGCTAATACTTTACCCTTAACGTCATGCATCCTTATCTTACGCAGTAGCCTCTTGTGCGGCACCTTGTCAAAGGCCTTTTGGAACTCGAGGTACACCACGTCCACTGGGTCCCCATTGTCCACCTCGCTCGTAACGTCTTCATAGAATTCCAAAAGCTTTGTCAAGCATGACCTGCCCTTCATGAATCCATGCTGCGTCTGCCCAACGGGACAATTTCTATCAAGATGCCTTGCTATTTCTTCCTTGATCATAGACTCAAGCATCTTCCCCATTACAGAGGTTAAGCTAACCGGTCTATAATTCCCCATCTTTTGTCTACTTCCCTTTTTAAACAGTGGCGTCACATTTGCTGTTTTCCAATCTGCTGGGACTGCCCCAGAGTCCAGCGAATTTTGGGAAATTATCGCCAGTGCACCTGCTATTTTTCCTGCCATCTCATTTAGTACCCTGGGATGCATTCCATCAGGGCCAGGAGACTTATCAATCCATAGCCCAACACTACCTCTTCCGTAATTATGATTGTTTCCAGGTCCTCACCTACCTTCGTCTCTTTGTCAATTACTGGCATGTTATTAGTATCCTCCACTGTGAAGACCAATACAAAATACCTGTTCAATGCCTCGGCCATTTCATCATATCCCATAACTACACTCCCCTTCTCATCCTGTAAAGGGCCAACGTTTACTTTAGCCACTCTTTTTCGTTTTATATATTTATAGAAACTTTTCCTATCTGTCTTTATATTCTGTGCTAGTTTTTTCTCATGTTCTATCTTACTTTTCTTTATAGCTCTTTTTGTGGCTTTCTGTTGACCTTCAAAGTTTTCCCAATCTTCTAGTTTCATGCTGTTTTTGTCCACTTTGTATGCCTTCTCTTTCAATTTGATAGCGTCCCTTATTTCTTTAGACACCCATGGCGGATTACCCCTTTTCCTACAGTCCTTCCTTTTCACTGGAATATACTTTTGCTGAGCACTTCGAAAAATTGCTTTGAAAGTCCTCCACGTGCTAGCGAGGCGAGGAATAGGGAGAGAGAGCAGTTGAACACGTGGCTACAGGGATGGTGCAGGAGGGAGGGATTCAGATACCTGGATAATTGGGGCTCATTCTGGGGTAAGTGGGACCTCTACAAACGGGATGGTCTACACCTGAACCAGAGGGGTACCAATATCCTGGGGGGGAAATTTGCTAATGCTCTTCGGGAGGGTTTAAACTAATTCAGCAGGGGGATGGGAACCTGAATTGTAGCTCCAGTGTACAGGAGG